AATCACAATAAGATTGACCAAATCCACTCAAAATTAATTTCAGTTGAAAAGTAGATTCGGCTGTACCTGTACTTGTGCATCTCTTGTTGATCTTATCAAGACTGCTAATAATTGTTTTACTGTTGTCTCTGCATCTTTTTTTTTTGGTTTACATTTGTTAATCGTTGCACAGCCCATAATAAAAATAATAATATAAACTTACAATGGCATAAAACATAACAAACATAAACATCTATGTGAAAGAAGATCGCAAGGATCTTTTCGTCAGAACCTTAAAAAACAATTAACAAATATAAGATAGAAAAAAGATTTATAAACTTTTACTAAATTGCAATGCAAACAATCTGTGTCTGAAGAAAAATCAAGAGGATTCTCATCAGATTTTTATACAAGAGTAAATCAACATATAAATTAAAAAGTAAAAAGTATAAGAACAATACATAAAATAAATAGAAATAAACTTCTATAAATATAAAACTTCTATAAACAAAAAAAAAATAGACCAAAATATATTTTTAACTTTTACTACTACTAATAAATCAATATATTATCTTATGAAAAAATGAGATTTTTCAGTTTTTTTTAAAAAAGGCAAAAAGTAATAGGTACTTCAAAATTAAAATTCGCCAAAACAATTTTATTCCAAAGGTGTGGCGCTCGATAGGTAATACAAATTGGTTAAAGTTTGTTTGACAGAAAGGCTCATTTAAAAATTGATTATTTCTCAATATATATTTACTGACAGGTTTAAAGAGAAAAGATCTTTGAATACGGCCAGGGATAAGTTATTTATCCAAATATACACAAAACATATAAAATAATAAATACATTTAACTCGTAAATATTCAAAATTCTCATTTCAATAAAATAATGCTTTAAATGAGAGAAGCGATTTGCAAAATTAATTGTACGGATTGCACGGTTCTGACGGAGATAAAGACGTTGCAACTTTTTTTTGTACTTCCCCAAGCAATATTGTCATAATTAAATTAACTATGTATAAATCAATAATAAAGTTGGATTAAGACTTTCTTATTGAGATAGATGCCTATGATTTTAGAAATTTTTGTGCTTATATAATCAATATGGTGATTCCAAGTAATGTTTCCATCAAGATAAAGACCTAAAAATTTTGTTACAAAATCTCTTTTTATTTCCTTTTGATCGATAAAGATTTGAGTTAATTTTGATGGGAGAAGTTGCTTTTTTGTAATCGAATGAAATAAAACCCATTTTGTTTTATTAGTATTTAAGGTTAACTTATTATACTTGAACCAACTAGATATATGTCTGAGTTCTTTGTTCAATGTTTTAAAAAGTTCATCGATATCATAGTTAGAAAGGAATAAATTTGTATCATCTGCATACATAACCCTTGTTAGTTTTGAAGCTTTACTTAAGTCATTTATAAAAATAAAAAATCTGTTTTATCAGAAGATTTAAAATAATAAACAGGGCCGGCGCGAGTAGGTGTCACGTTAGGGAAGGGGAGTTGCTATTACAACTTTTGCCGACAAAAAAAAAAAAAGTTCCTCGTTTTCAAAAATTTGCCGACTGCCATGACGACATTTGCCGACTAACTGTCTAAATTACCGACTAACCTATATTGAAAGGGTCGACATTTGCCGACTAACTAGTCAAAAAGGGTCAAATTTGCCGACTAAGGATCGAAATGCCGACTAAAAATTATTGAAAGGGACGGGGTGACACCCCGCGCCAGTCTTGATAATAAATTACAGAAATCTTAAGTGAAATTACAAAAAATCACTAAAAAAAGTAAAAATCAATGCTTGAGTATCTTAAATTGCATACAATATGTTCTTAATTATGTTCTAAATACTATTCAAGTTATGTTATCGTATATAAAATTTTTAAGTGATGTGGATCTCATGTACATCTTACCCACGTAATGTGGGTAAGAATAATGAATGTTAAGAAAATTTATTATTACGAGGCAAACTGGTAGCATCTTTTTTCTTATTACCCCCCTAACCCTTTACTCTCTAGTTTAAAAAAGTTGTCTACGGCCATGCTTGATCTCGTAAAGTAAACAATACAAAAATTGTATAATTTGATCCTTATAAGGTTAAGCAAATAGCATTACCAGTTGAGATGGAAAAAGATTCATCTCCTAATGAAGTTATTTGTCATATTTGTCATATTAGTTTTCTTCTAATGGAGTTATTTGTCAAGGCAGAAAAAAAAAGCTGATAAGACATTTTTTTGAAATTGTTGTTAGTGATATTAATGATATTTTTAAACTGGTTTGAAGTACTTAATGTAATACTTGTAATTTCTGAAACAAACATTTTTAAACAGGATTTTCAGCTGCACTCCAATGAATTTTTAACAACACACAAAATATTGCAGATTTAGCATAAAACAAGCCTTTCTGAACCTTTTAAGCCATACCTGACTGTTGTTACCAATTTTTTGTCCTAAGTTTGCTCAAAAATTTTATTATTACGAGGCAAACAGGTAGCATCTTTTCTCTTAATATCCCTTTTACTCTCTAGTTTAAAAAGGTTGTCTACGGCCATCTTGATCTCGTCTAGTTAACATTACAAATATTACAAGCAGCCGTGGCGCAGTGGTAGCGCACTTGCCTCAGAAATGTAAGATCCGTGGTTCAAACCCCACCTCTGGGCAAGTTTTGCGACATCGGTTGGGAAGGAGGCGTAAACTTCCTATTAAATGCTCTACCGCGGTGCTCTGTGATAAGACCGTAAGAACTTTTTGGGGCACCTAAAATCAACATATAAAAAAAAAAACAAAATTAGTATAGTTTGATCCTTATAAGGTTAAGCAAGTAGCATCACCAGTTAAAATGGAAAAAGATTCATCTCCTAATGAAGTTATTTGTCATATTAGTCATCTCCTTATGGGGTTATTTGTGAAGGCAGAAGAAAAAAACCCAGTTGAGAAGAGATATTTTTAAAATTGTTGTTAGTGGTATTAACGATATTTTTAAACTGGTGTGAAGTACTTAATGTAATACTTGTAATTTCTAAAACAAACATTTTTAAACAGGATTTTCAGCTGCACATCAATGTTTTGGTGTGACAAACACACAAAATATTGCAGATTTAGCATAACTCAGGCCTTTCTGAAGCTGTTAAGCCATACTTGACTGTATGTTACCAAATTTTTGTCCTAAGTTTGCTCAAGCAGAGTTAAATAAAAATTTCACAGTGCTCTAAATCTTTTTTTGCTTGAAAAGCAAAAAACATATAAAATCTTTGAAGACGTGTTTTTTTTTTGCAAGATCTTTTATTTTTACGGATGTAATGCAACATTTACAAAATCTGAATTTGTAATTTTAGGGAAAAGAAAAAAATATATCTGATCTTGCTCAGACTGTTTAGTTTAAAAAAAAATTGCTCTGTTTCAGAAAGATTTTCATTTTCCTCAAACGAAGAAGATGATTTATAATCCTAATCAATTGAGTATGATATTCATAAGATTAAATCATACCTGGAAAAACTAAAGAATTTATTCGAAGGATTTCAAAACAGGTTTAAAGATTTGTTTGCTCTTAAATCATCATTAGCAGTTTTATTAAATCTTTTTTTAATTGATATTATTAGTGATGTTGTCCAATTCCAGAAAACATACTTGAAGAAATATCTCAATTTGAAATGGAACTATTAGATCTCCAAGAAGATCAAAATCTTCAAATGCTGAATAAAAATGTGTCTGGGTACCTAAGTTGGATTAAGCGTCATAGAAAAAGTTAAAAACCCGGATTATTGTAATATACGAGTTAAAAATCCTTCAACCGCCAACTCAGCTCTTGAGTACTTTGGTACGCAAAAATGTTCGTCAATAACGGACGTTACTTTGGATTAGTCTTAATGACTGTTTGTGACTGTTCCTATGCTAAGCCAACAATATCTTCGGATATAAAAACATTGTATAGAAAAATATAGCATGAAAATTCAAATAATAAAAAAAAAATAAAACTAACTTTATTGGATTTTTAGAAAATAGTTCCTGAAGTTAAGTATTCTCAAAAAAAATATTTTCGGTTATGAAATTTAGTAAATGGAAATATCATCCCAATCAAACAGTGAACATTTTTTAGAGTTGCTTAGAATATTAACTACAAACATGAAACCAGATTTCAAAATACTTACCTGAAGTGTTCAAAATGAACGTTTCTTTCAAAATTGGCATAATATTAGTTTGTAGCTCTACGATGGGTTGCGTCAATTTAATTTTTTTGCCATTTAACATGCACTGTATGAAATTTAAATCAAGTGTGTTGCATGCATCAAATATTTCGTTTGTAAAGGATTTTTTATTCTGTGTTTCCTGTATTTGATTAATTATCAGTGAGTAACAAGTTTGATTTTTCAGCAGCCTGATAAAAAGATTAACTTTGTTCCTAAGGAGAATAGTTGAGATATCTTCTATCTTAAAAAAAGAATGAAGTTAATTTTTACTGTACTTCGAAATACAGAAAAATGATTTTAAGACTGCTCTTCCAACAGCGTCTATTTTGCTGAAAAAATTAGTATCATATTTACATAGTTCAAGACCATATATAAGCTTCGGCACTGTTAATGTATTGTACAAATGCACAATTGTTGATGGCTGGCAGTAACGAATCCCACTGTCGATTAGAGCTTTTGCAACTGATTGAAACTGAGTTATACGCTCATTTAAATTTTTCTTTCGGAGTGTTGCAATTTTATTTTTGCTGGTATCGTTATCCCATTGAAAACCCAGATGTTTTAATTTATTTTGAAGATATATAGAAACTCCATTAATTTTAACAACGTTGTTAGGAATATACCTTTTTCCAGAAATCAGAAATTCTGTTTTCTCAGTGTTTAGCTTGATAAAGTTTGCTACTCCATATGTTTGAAATCTGTTAATCAGTTCCTGCAGACCAGAGATTGTGGGGCTTCGCAATATTACATCATCTGCGTATGCAATTACACCAGTATAAATTCCATTTATTGTCGATCCTACTTTACATTCTGAGACAATTTCATTTAGGATGCTTTCAGTATAAATGTTATATAAATGCGGCGATAGAATAGACCCTTGTTGCACCCCTTGTGATAGACTGAATTGATTTGAGGTAACACCTTGATAGGATATGTTTGCAGAACCAGAATGATAAAGGGATGATATAGTGTGTACTCAGACAACGGAAGTTTTTTTTGGAAATACAGCTTCTCAAATAGCAAATCCCAGTTGCAAGTGTCAAAAGCTTTATTAGCATTTAAACTGCACATATATAAAAGCGTGTAATTGTTTTTATAGTGCATAACAGTTTTGCTCAGTAAAAATTCTGCATGGAGAGTAGAACTGCTTTTTTTAAAACCAAATTGATGGGAATGGCTATCTGTTATACTTGGACATATTCGTAGTATTAGATATTCTAGAAGTTTAGTAAAGATAGGTAAAATACTAATTCCTCGATAATTATCTGGATTATTAAGAGATTTTTCATATGACTTAACAGGTAGAATAATTGTTGAAGTTGATAGATCATTTGGTACTTTTCCATTCGATAGAATACTGTTATAAAATTTAGAGTGCGACAAAAGAAGATTATTATTATGAGAGTTTTTAAGGTGTTCAGCACTTAACCCACTTAACCCATCTGGGGACTTATTACTATTTGATTGTGAGATGCAATTTATAATATCAGCTGATGTTATGATTAGTGAATTAGGCTCTTTACTTAGAGATGGAATTTGAGAAGGATTATGGTTATTATTTAAAATAAGAGGCGTATTGAGAAGAGTTTGAAAATGTTGTCTAAACTCTTGAACGATATCTTTTATATTTTGCGATTTGTTAATTGTAAATAATCGATTTGTTGCTTTAGTTTTGATTTTACGGATGTTATCCCAGAACCTCTGAGGATTAGTGGTTCGAAGATTTTCAATATTTATAGTTTTTTCGTAATATTTATATCTTTTTGTTATGAGCTGCTTTAACTGCTTTACGGAAGTTTTTGCGTGAAAAGTTGTATCTTTTGTATTCAATGCATTCTTGTGTTTTATTATAGTTAGATTTTTGCCATTGTTTATAGTTAAATGAAAGATTTTCTTTGCATTTTTTAAGGTCCGTTGTCCACAATGATTTCGAATACTTACAGATTTGTTGTTTAAACTGCTTAACTGCTTAACTGCTAACAAAGCAGCATTTTGGATTTTTTCGCATGTTTGTTTTAATTCTTGTTCAATTTCTTCTTCATTGAAGGTGTAGTATTTGAAAGCTACGGAGAGGTTATGATTATATATGTTAATGAACTTTTCGTTATTCCATGCATGTTTTGGAATATAATTATATTTATGCATTATGCTATTTATTACGGTTGATAGATTAGTATGCGTAACGACGATATTTGTAGCGATTGGTAAGTGATCACTAAAATTAAAAGGAGAAGGAGGAATAACGCTTGTATTTATAAATAATAAGGATGGCTCTTTTAGAGCTGCGATGTGATCGATATATATATTTTTTTCTTTATTTATTTTTTTTATTATTTATTAAATTTGCCGTTGATAAATATTACAAAAAAGAAATTACAATAAAAGAAAATCCTGGCCGGAGCAAGAAGAAGACAGGTTGTCTTATCACCGAGCCCCGTCACACAAAAATTTACATGCACAATAAATGATAAAAGACAAAAAGACAGTATAAATACAAAAACAAAAACAAATCAAAAACTTCAGCAATAAAATAATTTGTTGCTAAAAATCTTCAAGCAGAATAATTTTAAAAATAAAAAAGTAAAAAACGACAAAAAGTCATGAAAGTTATAAAAACACACAAAAAAATGTGTTGTTAAATTGAAAAAAAAACAAAACAATATATGTAAACATAAGTATTTGGGCTGATTATTTAATATCATCAAAAATATGAACGAAAAAGACAATTTTATTTTCGTTATCTTTTATACTAATGGTTTGAAACCATTTTAATAAAAGCTAAAGAAAGTGTTAAAGATTTAATTGATTTTTAAGTGATTTAGTTCAAACCTTTAAATTGTTTTCAAAAAAGGTATTTGAAATCTAGTATATCGAATTCCATGTTCAGTAAATGCCGTTTTGAATCATCCTTAAAACTTTGCAAAGTGCAGTTTAAAACGAAGTTTTGTTTTTTACTAAAGATTGGAAGAAATTCTTTCCAAACTAAAGGCCCCCGATATTGAATTTGGTACGAACTTAATTTAAGAAATTTTATGGGAACCACAAAGTTATTCACTGAAAATTCGGTTGGATATTTATGGGAGATTTCATTAAAGTAGGATTGAAATGTACTGGAGAAAACCCAAGTTTTGCTTTAAACATAAATATCATTACTTGATGAATATTAAGCTTATAAATATTTAAAGCTCCAAGCTGAAGTAAGAGAGGTTCGCATTGTGTTTTTCTATTCGCCCCAAATACTATCCTGCAAGCATGTTTTTGTTTACTATAAATTTTTTTAGTTTAGTGTGATTAGTGCTACCCCATGAAATGTTACAGTATGAAAGATAACTGTGTATAAACGAAAAATATAAATTTTTTAAAGACTCGTTATTAAGAAAAGGTTTCGTTCGGTATAACATAGCAATATTTTTTGAGATCTTACCTTCAATATATTTAATATGAAATTTCCATGACAATTTTTTATCTAAGAGCACTCCCAGAAAGTTTGTAGTCAATTCCCTTTTAATTATTTTATTATTGATTAAAAGATTGGGTAGTTTAAGAGGAATATTCTCGGCTTTACTAGGTTTATGGAATAGGATAAATTTTGTGTTCTCTACATTTAATGATAGTCAGTTACTTATAAACCACTCGTTGATCTTGTCTAATTCTTCGTTAAATATTTTAAAAAGAACAGTAATATCTTTGTGAGAATAAAACAAATTAGTGTCATTTGCAAATAAGATAGTATTTAATATTTTTGATGATAAATATAAATCATTTATATAAAGTAAGAACAATAATGGTCCCAAAATAGAACCTTGGGGTACTCCACAAGTTATTAAGTTGTTTTTTAAGTCTTTTGATTCTTTAAGCATAAATTGCTTTCTGTTAGTTAGGTATGATTTAAACCAAAGTAAACTTTGATTTTTAACACCATAGTTTTCTAATTGTTTCAAAAGAATTTCATGATTTACTGTGTCGAAAGCTTTGGATAAATCAATAAAAACCCCTATTGTATAGCAATCACTATTAAATCCATTTGATATATGCTTAACTAATTCAACTATTGCATTGTCAGTAGAATGATCTTTTTTAAAACCGTATTGATTATTGTATAAAATCTTATTTTCAGATAGGTATTTATAAAGTCTGTTGTACATAATGCGTTCAATTAGTATAGAAAAGCAGGGTAAGACTGAGATTGGTCTGTAGTTTGAAATATTGGTCTCATTGCCAGATTTGAAAATAGGTGTTATTTTTGCAATTTTTAGTTTATTTGGAATATGACCTGATTTAAGGGAGAGATTAAAAATATGGAATAATGAGGGTTTGATAATATCAAAAACAGATTTAATTACATTAACATTAATTTGATCTATACCTGCACTCTTATTTTTTTTTAGACTATTAAAAGCAGTATGAAGTTCACTTTTGGTTAAAATCGGCTCTTCCATAATTAAATCAGTTATTGCAAGATATAAATCAAATTTTTTTTGACCAATTGTAATTTTTGCTGCTAGGTTTGGGCCAACATCAAGAAAAAAATTGTTTAATTTCTCAATAATAACTTCTTTATGATAAATCATTTTTTCTTTTAATAATAAGTTTTTGCGGTAAGTTATTTTTTTCAATTTTATTTTTCCCAATTAAGTCTCTAATAACACTCCACGTTTTTTGAGGGTTTCCTTTGTTTTTTTCAAGCAGTTTAGCATAGTAGTTTACTTTTGATTGTTTTTTGGTTTTTTCAAATAAATTTTTATAATTTTTGTAATTAGTTTCATTTTTACAAGTTTTATTTTTTAAATATTTATCATACAACTTTTGTTTTATTCTTGATGATTTTAGTAGGCCTTTGGTCATATATCTTCGTACGTCATATGTCATACAAAGATCATCTGATTATACTAAACTTAACGTCTTTAGAAACCCGTCGCATTAGGGGAGATCTGATACAGGCTTATAAAATTATTAACAATAAAGACATTGTCTCATGGAGCGAATCCCATGTCTTTCGTGTTGGGGAGTCAGATAAAATAAAAACTAGAGGACATCATCTAAAAACGGCACCAGTTTTTTAGGCACCAGTTTTTTACTAATCGAATAGTGAATCATTAGAATGCATTGCCATCAGAAGTTGCATGCGCTTTATCAGATAACAGTTTCAAGTCTAAGCTTGATGCAGAAATTTCAAATAATCCGCATAAGTATAGAGATAATAATTTAAAAAAAAAAAAGGAAAAAAAAAAGTACAAACTTATACTTTATACTATATATCTTATTGTAAACTTTTATATATTGATATGAATAAAATTAGTGTACGAAGTAGATAAGGCTGCCAAAACCGTAGGTTATACAGGGAAACCTGTTCCAGCAATTTTTCTACTACTACTACTACTACTACTACTACTACTACTACTACTACTACTACTACTACTACTACTA